CTTTGGTTGGTGGTGAAGGGAAGGCATCAAGAAACTTGGTTTCTTGGTAAGGCTGGGCCTATTAGGAGACCATCAGAATACACCAATGGCTCTCCTCCCTCGAGTTAACCTTCTGAGTTCCGAGGGGATCGAGGGTCGTTTCCTGGGCACAAGATATGGTGGTCCGTAACCTGCCTCCCCTTGGGGGATGGCGCGGAAAGCGCCTCATTTTTGAAAGTCGTCCCCTCGGCGCTAGACATAGTCCGTGGCCTGCCACACCCTTGGGGTGGTGGCGCGGGGAGCGTTTCGGTTTGGAAGTCGAATCCTGGGCATTTCTCGTGCCTGTCACACCCTTGGGGTGATGACGCGGATAGCGTTCCGTTTTTGAAAGTCGAATCCTGGGCATTTCTCATGCCTGTCATACCCTGGGGGTAGTGACGCGGAAAGCGTTTCAAGGAAGGGTTTTCATTTGCACACTAGTTGCAAATGGCTGGGGGCACTACGTGCCGCCGATACCGATGGTGGCGCCTTCGGTATATGCGTCCTCGTGGGGTACGGCTTTTGGAAACAACACTTCGCTCACATATAATGCAAAAGGGCAATCACTTTTTTTTTGTTCTTGTAGCTTTCTTTCCTTTATCCTGTTGCACCCCGGGAGCATTAACTTTTTTTGCAGTTCGATACTTCCCGAATTTTTCACATGCGAGAAGGACATTACCAAGCTTCTTAGAATTACTTGGCCCCGATTTTGCAATAGTTAACACCATGAGTTTGGAAGTCTTCTGAAAAATCACGTGAAGTGAATGGTTGTGGTTCTTAAACAATTGGAGGTTCATAATTTACTTCTTCTTCCACAAAAGTTGAGCTATCATCATGAAAAATAAGGCTGATGTACATGTCACTATCATCCTGCAAATATCATATTTTTATAAAAGCAAATAATATGAGATACATGTATTACAAGAAAAATGCATGTATATACCTATTAAAACTACTAGTATTGTACCCATGCGATGCACGAGATTAAAAAATATTTTATTTTTTAAATAATTAAATATTAATGTAAGACATTTATTTTAAGAGCACTCAATATATTTAGAAGTGATCATACTAAATGCATGTACAAAACAAAAGAGTACATTACAGAAGTAGAATACATTAAATAAAATTAAAGAATACATGTTAATATATACGAAATAAATATACACTTTGGATTACTAATTGGAGTATAAATTAGTAATGTAGTAGTATATTTTGCAACTATATTAATTAGTAGTTTTTTAGTTTTTTAATGTATTTTAAATAAAACTAGGCCATAGCTTATTACACGTAACTTAATATTCGTGCATGTGTTTTTTTGTATCTGTTTTATACAAAAACCAAAATTTGATTTAGTTTGATCTGAGATCGAAATTTTATAGTTGTGTCAATTAGTTTTTCGTGCAATTCAGTGACCGCTAATATATTTATGGGGTTTTTAGTGAAATAAGCAATCTTGACGTCATATGAAAAATCATGAAAAAGTATATACTAGTATATGCATATGACGATCAAAATATTAACAAATATTGTATACGACGAACTTCATGACACACATAAAAAAGAAGAACTAAGATATAGATAATGAGACAGATGAATACCTCATAACTCTGAAAATCAAGAATGCTATTTTTTAGATAATTTTTATATTCATCATCCATTGTATAAGAAGATTGTAAAAAAGTTATGAGAGCATTGATAACAATTTTCCAAATATTTATAGAGCAATTATTTGATAGTAGTTAGAAAGTCCAATCCTGATTATATTAGGAATTTGAGTATAAAGTTATTTTTAAGAAACATATTACACAAAAATTAGGAAATACGATTATTAAAAAAGATGTTTCCTATTCCCGAGTCAAGGGTGAGTCCCATGCGTCACATGTATATCCCTCATATTGAGGTTGACCGAAAGAAAGAAAGCTAGATGAGCAAAGAGAAGGCCTGTAGAGGGCCCACTGCCTTACTCCTAATTACTCCCTCCGATTCCAAAACAAGTTCCACATTTGACTTCACACATATTAAGAAAATAGATTTGACTTTACTGTGGAGTGCACTGTTTGGCACTGTTTGAACACTGTTTGACACTGTTTGAACACTGTTTGGCACTGTTTGACACTGTTTTGATGTAGATAATAAGGAAATATTTGAAACTGGAACTTAATTTTGAATCTGCTCAAAAAGGAAAGGTGGAACTTGTTTCAGAAACGGAGGAAGTATTAGGAAAAAGCAGTTGGGGTGCACATAGCAACTAAAAACGAGTTACTATGTGAGAAAAGGACATATATGTCCATCTTTGACAAAAAATAGGTGCGCCCAGCATAGTTTGGGGTGCGCGAAGTCCGAGCTTAATTTAACCAGATTCTACATATTGAATTGGATGCATGTGTTTTGTCTTATTTATTTATTACTTCCTATTTAGTTTGAATCTAAAATTTTGGACCGAACTTACCTAGCTCACAAGTCACAACACAATGAGATCTACACATTGTGTAGACACAAGACACATGTAAAGCAACCTAATAAAACATGTTGAGAGTAGTCTTAAGGAATTATTCCATATATTATAAGTTGATGTTAGCATCAACACTGGGTCCTTCATTAAAAAATGAGTGATGGTTCTTATGATAACTGAGCACTTATAATTCCAAAAAGTTACGTAGTATCATATACTCCCTCCGTCTCCCAATTAAGTTTCCACTTTCTTCTTTGGACAGTCTCTAAATTAAGTTCACACTTCCTTACTTTCCTTATTTGGCAAATTATCTACATCAAAATAGTGTCAAACAGTGCAAAACAGTGCCAAACAGTGTCAAACAGTCTTTGAACAGTGCAAAACAGTGCACTCCACAGTAAAGTCAAATTTAATTTCTTAATACGTGTGAAGTCAAACCGGAAACTTAATTGGGCGACGGAGGGAGTATGTCAATAAAATTTTGTACTTGTTGAAAAGTGGGTGTGATGAAGGTAGATTATATATCTCACACTTAAAATCTTCTACATGTGAGAGGTATTGAGTTGATGGGTTCAACTCACCAAGGATATGAACATGAGAGACTTTCTCAAATGATGATCCTCTAGCCTATAGTTTGAGTTAGCTTTTATTGAAAACACGAGTGTTTAATTAATATTTCAGTCTAATACCATTTGACCGATCAGATTTGAGACCGAAATAAGTTAAGTACCTTACGATGGCCTGATAAAGTCTAGTACGGAGTATAATTATTTGAAGTTCAGTCGTACTAGGATTTTTAGATCCTTCTTGATAGAGAATCTCTTTACTTAGATATCTAAACTATGTAGGGGTTAATGATTAACTTCATAGAATGTCAATAGGAAATGGATTTGAAAGAAACACAAATGACCTCACTCTATATCTAAAAGAGAGACTAACACTTTCAACCACAATCTATCATTTCATTTAGGGAAAGGGGCAAATAAGTCCTTGAACTAATCGAAAAAGTGCAAATCACCCCATTTATAAGAGGCTCGGTCCGGCCGTTGCCATTTGAGACGGTTCCCGATGGAGTTTTTTGATGCAAAATTTTGAGCATCTTCTTCATTAAATCTAGTTTACCCATATCAAATTGTAGCTAAAAATTAAATCGTGAAGGCAGTAAAATAAATGTTTAAAGATAAATGCACAGTTAAACAGTGCAGAATATTTTAGAAAATCATTTGACTGTCTTTCTGGTTGAATTTTTACCTGAAATTTTGTATGGGTAAACTAGACTTAATGAAGAAGATGCGCAAAAAAATTCATCAAACACTTCCACCGGTAACCGCCCCAAATGGCGACGGCCAAACAGAATCTCCTATAAAAGGAGTAATTTGCACTTTTTCGGTTAGTTCAAGGGCTTATTCGCACGTTTTGCTTTCCAATTATGTTCATATTCCGCAAACCATCCTACCCTGCACTGCTTAGATTTTTATGCTATCAACATTTAGAAACCGCCACTTGCTCCTTATAATGCAAAACTATTTTTTTACCTGTGCATTGCACTGAGTGAAAAGTTATCTTACTTTACACATTTTTTTACTCATACATGGGACAAAAAGTTATTTTAGTTTATTTGATAGTAATTTAATTATTTTCCTACATGAATATATGCATAACGATTGCCTTTTGTTTTGAATTAAAAAGCTCTCAAATTTATTTAAGATAAAATGCAACATTATAAATTGATAAAGACCTCTTTGTACATCATATTTAGTATGGAGTTTAGCGGTGTACCATTCTCGTCAAATATCAGAAAAATCAACTACAAAAATACAAAGTAGTTCAGTTCAATGTATTAACTCAATCTATTGCTAAATACAAAAATGCAAACTTATATAATGGCCTTAAAGGCTTAAACTAACCATGATTTAGCTTTTCATTTGAATTGAAATTTATCGGTCAAGTTTGAACTGTTTTCATCTCGTATGATTAGGTTTGATTTGATCTGGTTTCTAGTATGAACAAAACTTTATTAGGTCATGTTTAATTTCAAATGGTGTGGTGTGATCATGTGTGGTAACATGCCTACATCTCGTCTCATCCGGTATTTTTTAAGTCTATATTATTTTTTTATAAGCCTGCCTTAGCCATTTCAGTCTAATACAATTTGATCTAATTTGAGACCGAATTAAGTTGAGTACCTTAGGATGGTAAGTCAAGTCTTAAGACCCTCTTAGATATTGTGGCAGAGGCCAAATAGAATAGAGAGAGACATATGTGGTGTAAGGTATTGACATAAGATCGATTTTTAGGATATAATATAAGTTAAAGTGATCTGACTAAAACTTAAGAAAATAAGAACACATGAATTTCAAAATCCAATAATGTATGCCACATTTCTTATCTATTTCATCTTTAGATGGATGAAAAAGGCATAGTATTTTATATTTATATATCATATTAACAATGAGTCAATCACATTAAGCCATATGTCTCATACATGGTTATATTTTTTGTATTTGTGATCGAATCTTTTGTCACAGGTGATCTACATTGGAAAGTAGTATCCGTTTATATACACCGTAGCGGAGATGTAGTGCTAAAGATGAAGAGTAAGCATGTTGCTAATACCATCACAAAGAAGAAGAAGAGTAAGTTGAACTTAGCCCATGGAATGACATTTTTGGTGTACTGTTAAAATATATTTAACTCTGCCAGTCCAGAACAGTATATACATATGTATATTCATGATGTCTTCCAATGGTGGGTATATTGCAGATGTAGTATTAGAGGTATGCAAGGATGTGCAGGCTTGGCCAGGGAGACACTTGTTTGAGGGGGGGCAACACTTTAGATACTTTGGGCTAAGAACACAAGTGAGGGGTTTGGTTGAATTTGAGTGCAAAAATCACAAGGAATATGAAATGTGGACTCAAGGCGTTTCAAGGCTTCTCTCTGTTGTGGCTGAAAGGAAAAGAAGATTGAATTCTTATTGAATTAGGAAGAACAAACCAAATGTGGTTATATATGAATGTAGATGTTGGTAGATGATGAATGCGGAGGAGTGGGCCAGCCTGAATTTGCATATATATATATAGTGTCAGTATGTAAAATAGTGTGTGTGTTTTCTAACTTAGTGCAAAACTTTTTCGGGAATGTGCTTTTATTTTGAGTATGTTTGGAACACGAAAATGCTACGGAAAGAAAATAGGAGTTGAGTGAATGTAATTTCTTTCCTTTTCGCGGGATTTTCGGCGATCCAAACATAGTCTAAAGCAATTGAGTTATCGCGATTGGTGAGACAAAGCAAACATCGTGAGATTTCCAATGAATTCATTTTGTGTGCAAATATTGAGGATTCTGATTGAGAATTCAATGCCCGATTGGTCGAAATATTTATGTCTATGAGACGATTTACGGTTTTTGGTTGGAGAAATGTATTGACATTGTCATTTGTTATGGACTTTTTATGAATTTCACTTTTTATGTATTTATCCATATAAACTAAATAGAGGAGAGGACTACGTTAGGGCTATATGGTGAGTTGAAGCTCGGGGCAATTTATGTTTTTGCAAATCTTTAGTTTCATTTTTAACTCACTTTACTGAGTTTAAGCCCAGTATAAAACTCTTTCAAACTCGATCCCACTCAGGATTCTTGGATCTGCTCTATAGTAAATCTTTATTGAGATAATTCTACTATGTAGGGGTTTGTGGTTAAGTTTATGGAATGTCAATAGGTTTTGTAAGAGACAAGGATAACCTCATAGAACACTTTCAACTTTCAAGCTAAAAAGAAGAAAAAACCAATAAAGTTTATCCTTCTCTAGTTTATAGTTATAATATTTAGCACATTTATTTTGAATATGACATCTTTGTTATGTAAGATATTATAACTAATATAGTATGTTTGCATCTAAAAATGACCAAAAAGTAGTATATTTAATTACTTTTTAGTTATTAATACATTTGGTCTTTTATACTACAGTATTATCTCGTAACAAATTTAATTAATTAGTTAGTATTGTGAATTTGATTCTTTTAGTTCAAAAATATTATACAATAACAATTACTGTGATTAGTAATTAGTATGGCCTTTATATAAAGTTTGACTCAATTTCAAATGTATACACGATTGACACAATCCACTTGCTAATGTTTAGGTTTAATATAATTATTTGAAACTGAGGATGTTTTTATCCACTCAAATATCCAATTAGTATCAAATACAGTAACACTTTCTATTATAAAATATGCTTACTAAATATAATTATTACTTCTATGATTCTATCACAGTGAAGAACAAATATTTTTAATTTCTTAAATGCATAAATATATGTTTATTGATATAAAGTGAATGGCACATTAGCTGCTATTACATCTACCGAAGTACACACATGTTTCTATTAGTTGCTTCTTTCTTCCTTTCTTCCCTGCTTCAGCTTACAGTAGTGCTTCTTCCAATCCAAAAAGGGCTGAGCAGGTTGGCATCCAAACAAACATAACCTACAAATGATCATCACTAGGCTATACAGCAGGGGGGGGGGGGGGGGGTAAGTTACTGTTAGGATCATGTTTTTGCAGCCCACAGTTCAACAACGCCTCCAATGCACAATAGGCATAAACGGGGTTCCATTGTAAAAGCAATTGGCTTGAGTTCTAGTTTACACAGAAAATTCAAAAGTGGCAATGACCCCGAGAGGGGCCTCAAGTTTCCAGTAATAAATGCAGAAGTCTTGCCAAAAACAGAACAACTGTAGACAACAGTGACCAAATTTTGAGAATCCAAGAGCCCTTGGGGTTTGTTTGGTTCAGTGACACTTTTAGATTAACACATATAATGCTGAATTTCTTTCTAACACTAACTGGAGGCAATCAAGATTTGCTAGTGTGGTGTAACTGTGTTCAAGCACAGAAAGATTTTCCCACGAGACCACGACATGAATAGATAACCAGAAATAAAGTGATTGGGCTCATTAGTTGCTATTACATCTACCGAAGTACACACATGTTTCTATTAGTTGTTTGCTTACAATCCAAAAGGGCTGAACAGGTTGGCATCCAAACAAACATGACCTAACGTTGATCATCAGTAAGCTATACATAGAGCAGGGGGTAACAGAAGAGGGAAAGCCCGCAGAAAAACAGAAGAAGAGTAGACATTGTGCTCAATGATGCATAAGATTAGTCCACACTGGTACAAAAAAATTGACCACTTTGGCAGGCAGGGAAGGCTTCTGACTTTGAGGTCCCTGCACAAGCCATATGTGGTCATCCTTGTTTTCACTTGTTCATGTGAAGAAAAAAGGGCTTGGTCTGAAAAATTCACTAGTAACTGTTAGGATCATGTTATTGCAGCCCACAGTTGAGCAAAAAGAATTGGCTTGAGTTATATAGTTTAGACAAACAGTTCAAAACTGGCAACCACCCCGAGAAACAGAACCGTGGCTTGATCTATGTAGTAATGATAAAGTCATATATCGGGTCCAAAACTGACAAATAGGGAATATCATGTCATCAAAATAAAAACCTATCCACCTCCCAAATCTGAAGCAGCAAGCAAAAAAGGTGTATAGTCAACAGTTAAGGCATCCCTGCATCGGGTATGAAAGCACTGAGTCTAGTAACAGCTCACTCAGTTCATTCCAACTGAACCCAATGCACAAAGTTCACCTGACCGACAGTTGAATAAGTAGGAGATGCAAAAATATTATGCATATAAGATTATAAACAAGCTTCCAACAAATAAATGTAAATGTCAATAATAGTAGTGTATATGTGATGCAAAAATAAATATGAGTGCGACTGCTCCTACTTCATATCGAAAGGGAAATGCAATGCCTGTTTCTCTGTTTCACCACGCTGCAATTATCAAACGAGGAAAATTATGTGTACTCACAGTGGATAACAATGAAATGATGATCCAAAAACGTAGCAACCTTTGGAGCATAAAACCCTAGGACAATACACTATTTCATCAATCAATTGGCCAAAAAGAAATACAATAATTGCATGAAAGAAGAGGCAACAATCTTTGAAAACGCAACACCCAAAAACAAAGTTCACCTGAATCAAAAATGGAAGAAGAAGAAGGATAGGAAAAAAAATTTGGACCATTTCTCGATTTGTGCGTGTCATCCTTGCGCAGGGGCCATGCTAATCTTCTCTGTATCGTTCCAATTTTATCGGATGTCCCCGAAGGGACACTCAGAGCTGAGAGTCTTCCGTATATACAGACTGTAAGCATTCTTTTAACGCCCGGTGTGGGATATGCAAGGGACTACAAGCTTCGACCAGTGAAGGACTGGGCAGTATCACTTCTACGGAATCCAGCCCAAAATATTCATACTGCTATCATATGGGCTGCCGTTGTGGACTTTTACTTTTCTCATTCATATTTTCATTCTTTGTCCTATTTAAATAAATAAATAAATGTTTAACATACGCTGCTAGTACTCGGTCACAATTTTTTATAAATCTGATTTAATTTCACTATTTGACTATAATATTTTGCATTATGAACTAACCAAACTTATTAAAAAATGAAACATTTAACTTTTTATTATATAAAATAGATAAGGTTCAAATTACTTTTCTTATAGAATTGACCAAAGTTATTATAGAACACCTTTTTAGCTATCTTTTCAAATAATTTACTATTAACTTATACGATTGGTCGAATCGGCCGATTCTGCTCAAGTTGGTGAAGTCCTGGCTCAATTAACTGAAACGGTCGAATTATTAAATAATTATATTTAAAACATTTCTTATTAATAAAATAAGGAGAGAGAGAAAAATTGAGCATGGTGATATACGTCTCATTTAATTCATTAACATGAAAAGCTCTTACGAATCTATCCTTCTTGGGAATACAATGATTTGTTCCAAAAAACAATAAAGAAAAAAAGGTATATGAAAATAGCTAAAATGACGATATAAAGTAAGCTTCAATCACGAAACTCACTTCAACCATACTCATTTAAATTTAAAACAATTTTGCACACAGAATCACACGTTTTCTGTTTGGTGAAAAGTTAATTGATAAGCCAGATAATCCGAAATCTGGATCACCAAACGGGTCACTTTTGCCAGATTTTCATCAATTTTAGATGATTCGGCTAATTTCACCGGTACCAAATGGGGGTGTAAGGCCCCGATAAGAGTGCGGCTTTTGTTTTTCGGCAAAGGGTGCGGCTTTTTTGTTATCGTTGCCGGCGTGCGGTAACTTTACGAGGATGGCTAGGTACAATGAGTTGGAAGAACGTTGCAGAAGATCCGTGTTCTTGCTTTTTTCGATTCTTCTGTATGGGAGAGGCATAGTGTTTGTATTTGATTCCTCATATCCCTATGACTATCCGAAACAAAGTAGGAAGAGGGGTTTGTTTTTCTCTAATACTATAGCAGCTCGTCCTTCTCTGAACCACCTCCGTGCGAGAAAGAAATTTATGTAGAAGCACTATTTGATATCTCAATGATTTTATTCCAACATTTTTTTCTTTGGTGGTGATGGAAGTATATCCACCGGAAAATAATTAACAGATAGCTGAAAATAATTAAAGCACTCAGAATAATACTTAGAGAGATAATTGTATGTATTGTATTCAATGTATTCAGCCTGATCGTTCTTCCAAGAGTTACATGAATTTATAATACAAAATTGAGACAAGAAATATTTGGGCGATGTGGTCGCCATGCCTGAACTGACGCGCCACCATCCTCTGATTTGTAGGACTGATTGCGAGTTGACCCGTGATCTTCGAGATTCGTTGTTGGTCACGTAGCTTCTGGGAAGTAGCATCATGCATGTGCGATGGTCTTGAGCGCTTGTGCACCACGCGCGTTGAGGCTCATTATGTGATGCTCAGCAGGCCATATTCAAATCCCATTGTAGAGGTAATAGTGTGTCGTGCTCAGCATGTCACGTCTAAGCCTCATTGTAAAGATAAGATCACGTCATGCTCAGCGCGTCATATATCTTTGTAAATGTGACTCCATGTTTCTCATCCCGAGTATGCTGACCATGTATTTCCTTGGGCCTGATGTTCCTGTTCATCTCGTCCATCTCATTTACGGACTCAGCCCGCATTCAATCGGGCTTACCATATTGGGCTGGTATTTATGTCATCAGGTGGTATTCTTCTTTATTTTAATTTGAGTAGTTGTGGCTTTGTTGTTCGAGGCTTTGGCTGGGATTGAGACATCTGGTTGTTTTTTTGTTGTGATAGGTGCTAGTTGGGGATATGTAAGTGATGGATTGGGAAAAGGGGCAAAAACACCCCTGAAGTTGTCAACAAGGGATATCTACACCCATAAACTTAATTTCTGAGCAAAAATATTTTATAAACTTGAAGAGAGGGCAAAACCCCCCTTTAACTAACAGAATCAAGTTAACAGAACATGCAACCCTTAATTTGGTCAGTTGGCTAACTCGCTTATATAGGGGCACCGTGTATAAAACAAATACAGGGTGTGTACTATGTTTAATATGTAGTATTATTTGTTTT